CTCTTTGGGGCGCTTAGTATTGCCCAGTGCAAAACTGGAATCTTAATCGTTGCGTTATTTGCTAGGATGTGTGAGGACTGTGTGCTTTCTCAAAGCTTTGCCTCTTGCTCTTCTTGACTTATAAATCCCTCCGAGCCAAAATATATGCGTCGTTTCTTGGTATAAAACATGGCTCCGCACGTCTCGGTGCCCCGAGGGCAGCAGCCCTGCCGCAGGCCCGGGCTGCCCTGGCCTCCCGGTGTGAGCAGCGCCCTGTGCCGCGGCTGCGCTGCGGTTGCTTCCAGAGGGAGCTGGCGGCCCGGCACAGGGAGGGAGAGCTCAAACCGCTAATGCATGCTCTGAGAAGTAAAAAGAATGTGAGTTTTGGCTCTTCCACACGTGGAAAAAACAGCACACAAAACACACATCCTAAAATAGTTGAAATTCAAAAAAAGAGTGTTTTTCTGTCTCTGGACTCCAAGTACCAGAATGGCAGTTTGTGCTGCACTGAAATCTGTTTCGAAGCCTTGTGATGTCCTGGCAGAACTTAATATATAAAGCATGGAAGGAGCCATAGTCAAGTCCAGCGCAAAACTCTTTTCAGTGGTGTAGTATAAACCTTTCTGCAAGACTATTTCCATTGCTGAGGAGATGTTGCAAAATGGTCTGGTAACCCTTGCCCAACAAAAGCTAAAGGAGTTGCACAAATTCGTGCTCTCCTTTGGATTGTTAAGAGGAGAGTTAAAACGAGAAAACAAAAAGTTAGAGTGACTTTCCTCCCTTCAGGGAAGGGTGGAGAAGCTGCCAGGACTGAGTGCATCACAACAAAAGTGACCAGTGATGGTGTTACAGTTTACACTAAACGTAACTGCAGATAACAACTGAGCAGGGACTTGTTTCCCAGCATGTGAGATGGTAAAAGCTTGAAAGTAGCATTTGGGTTCTATCCCTGTTGTAAGGGACATTATTTATTTTTTTTTTTAAATAAAACACATGACTTCTTCTCTGTTAGTCAAAGCCCAGTAAATTAAGTTTAAGCATTAAGTATGAATTTTTAAGTATTGAATTCCAGATCACTGGAGTTAGGCAGCATCATCCTGTACATAGAAACATTGTATCTTGAAGTTTTTCTGTTTTTGTGTGCCTTTGGTAGCAACCTGGAATGAGCCAGTAGAAGTGTGTGTGTTGCTTCCTGTTCTCTATCAATCCTGTTATGCTTGTTTTCTGTAGGCTAGGTTAGGCTAAAGGCAGCCCAACAAGGGTTGGTTACTGATTAACTAGTTTTTCAAGTGATCAGCAGTTTGAATTTCAGGCATTAATGACTGTGAGTTTGCACTCATCTCCAATAAAAAAAAAATACACATTTGGAATGCAAATTCTGGATACTTACAAAACTACATACCAACTTACTATGGGCAACTCCTTGTTTCCAGATAAATTAAAGGCAGACTCTTGTGCCTTGCTGTAATGTGACAGAGTTGTTTCTTAAACTCTCACACTCACAGTTTGTATTTAGAGCACTTCCCTAGACTGTTCTTTTTAGATTAATCCTCTCTAAAACATCCTGAGTGCCTAAGATGAAAGAAGCTGGGGTTTGTTTGTTTGTTTGTTTTCCAAATTGTTACTCAAATGTGTGATATTTATTGAGTATAATTTTTAAGAAAAATGGAATTTTGACAGTTTGGAAAGCTAAGGTAAGATTCCAGAACAGTCTGTGAATATCCTTATCAGTTTTGTGGCCTTGTAGGAAAACTGATTCCTTGTAAAATAAAATATGCAAAGCAAACTTCAGAAAACCTTTCTATTCTTTCCCAGTAATCTAGGCTGCTAATTTTAACTAGAGTCAGTATAGGCTCAGATGTTTAAAGAAGATAGTGTCCCTTTGACAATGCCTCATGCTTTTCTTATCTGAAAGCCTTTTTTTTTCTTTTTTTTTGTCTTAATTACCCTCTGTTTTTTTACTTTGTGGGTTATGTGCACTTCTGTAAAATGTAGTTGGTAATACTTCCAACCTTTGAATAATTGAATTTTATATTCTAGGGTAAAATCTTTGGAGTATCTTTTCATGCATTGCCGCAGTCACTCGTGCCAGAATATGGAAGCATTCCGAGGTAAATTAATGTTGTATATTTAGATCTATACTTTTTTGCTCTTTGTATGGTACTGGAATTCTGTCGGAGTGAAAGGAAATCTGTTATTCTAGGCCTAGTGAAACTTACGGGGGATACAAAGTAGTTCCCTGTTGAAGGAAGAGGGAAGAAGTTAGATGTGGAATTCAGAGCCAGAGCTGTCATTCAGTTCTGTTTCTTTTTACTGATTGTCGTTGGGGAAGGCTGTCCTGTGTGTGTATATATAGTTTTATGCATTTATCATGGGATAGTTCTAGGAAAAGTGAAGTTTATTCTGAATGTGTGAAGTATGTTATGATTCTTTCCTCAGCTTTCTTGTTGATGCTTGTGAATATTTAGAAGAACATATTCATACTGAAGGACTCTTCAGGAAGTCTGGATCTCTTGTTCGCTTAAAAGCATTGAAGGTAGTCTCTAAAGTTTTATTTTGATACATACAGCATATATGCATAAAACTGAATTTTACTTGACCATCTGTATGTTTTTGCTTTTGAACTTTTCTCAACAGCATTTGATTTCTAATACTGGAAGTAGTATGGTAACATTATTTGCTTTAAAAATGAGAGAGGGAATCCCACCCAGAACTTGGCAAACAATTTTCCCTGCTTCATCCCCCAGGAAACTTTCCAGTTTTCCTGATAGTAGTTATAGATAGTAGTGCAAATATTTGTAGTGTGTGGATATTTGTTTAGCAGTATTCTCCCACAGAGATGGACAGGAGGGAATCTATAAATTAATAATCTCTGTCCATTAATATCATTTGTGTCTCTTGGTAGGTACTGTAGTTAGTTAAAACATGACAAGTCTGAAAGTAAAAATGGGGAACATCTGATGGTTTCTTCTGATTTGGGCTAGACTTAGATATGTCTAAACTTAGAAATCTGGTGTGTTGAAGACTTCAAACTGTTTCTTATGAATAATTTCAGAGTAAACTGGATCAAGGTGAAAGCTGCCTCTCGACTGCATTGCCATGTGATGTTGCAGGGCTTCTTAAGCAGTTCTTTAGAGAGCTGCCAGAACCCATCCTCCCACCTCACCTGCAGGAAGGTCTCTTCAAAGCTCAGCAGCTAGAAAATGAGAAGAAAACTGCCACTGTGCTGCTCTCATGTTTAATGGCTGACAGAACAATTGAAGCTTTGCGATTTTTTTTCAACTTTCTGAGAACTGTATCCCTAAGGTCAGTGTAAAGTAATGTAAAGAGGATGCTTGTGTGGTTACTTAAAGAATACTGCAGGCTTTCTATGAATCTTCTTTTATCTTCAGACTTCCTAATTTGCAGTCACTTGCTAAAATTCAAGCACAGTCTTTTCCTTCATTAATCCAATTTTATAAAATCATATTATGCTGGAGATATTATTTAATAGCTGTATTTCTGTTTCCTCTTTGGAAAGCAAAGGAGTAACTGATGACATTAACATCACCTAATTGATAATCTGCATACCTATAAACTGATGGGGAATCTATGACCTGTTGCATTCAATGATGTAGTCATGCAGCTAGCTAGCTCAGGAGTGCCTAACAGGCCTACTTGTTAATCTTGACATATGAGCACTCAAGTGAATGACTCCAGGGTCACTCTGGTTTAGTTTTGTTTCCAGATGCGTTTGGGCTTTTAGTTTTCTCATTGCTGTTTGTCCTGATAAATTGTTTTAAACTTTTTTTTTTCTTGTTAAGATCACATGAAAACAGAATGGATAGCAGTAATCTGGCCGTGATATTTGCTCCAAACCTCATGCACTCAGGTGAAATTGAAAAGATGACAGCCAATACAGAAAAAAAAATTCGCTTGCAAGCTGCTGTTGTACAAACACTTATTGATCATGCAGCAGAAATTGGTAAGATGGTAAATGTGTATTGTTGCACATATTTGCCTACACCTGTTTTTTTCCTAACTCTTTGAAAACCTTTAAAAATATTTCTCAACTAATTCAGGACAAGTACCAGAATTTATCTCAGAGAAGATTCCTGCAATGTTAGGTATTGATGCCCTTCAATCTACCCCTGCACTGGGTGGCCATGAGGATGGTGAAAGCGAATCTTCTAGTGAATGTAAAAGGAGGAGACAACGAAGCGTTGGGGGTAGGTATGTTTGCTGGAAACTTCAGCAATTAAAATGGACTAGTGGACTGATCCAAAGCAGAATAGGCTTCTGTGGAATTTCTTAGTTATTTTATAAGACTTATGTAATGACGTCAATATAGTGTTTGACTAAGGCTAAACTAAGGCTTTATTGCAGCATGTCTGTTTTCTGCCAAAATACCTATTTTGTTGGTATCCAGGCATGTATAGTTGAATCCTGTTGCAGAACACAGATAAATTAAGAATATATATATATATATATATAAGTCTTGAAATAACAATTGGATACTCAACAATTGCATTGTCGGTCTTGAGATAGCAAGAATATAAATGTGAGTGTTGAATCGGAAGCGGAGTAAAAAAAAGTGCTCAGTTGGACACAGTATTCTTGTGCAAACTAAACAACGTGTTCCACGACACTCTTGAAGGTCTTGCAGTATGAGTTTGTCAAAATCCTATATCTTGCTTACAAGAAATTCTGGGGAGAGTCACAGTGGACTTTACATAACTCTTCACATATACCGGTTAGCACTATAAGGAAAAAATTCTTGTTAATCCAGAGTATTCATTTCTAATTATTTTCAAAAAATAATTTTGCACATTTAATTATATTTTTGCACATTTATTTATACATTTATGTATAAATAGGAAATCATGTTACTAAGATTTGAAATAATTAATGTGGACTAGTATACTTCTATAAAATCATGCAAGCGAAACACTCATTTAGTAGGATTTTGTTTAACTGATCAATTTTTTTCAAACACAGTTTGAAAGAAAACATTATGTCTATATTCTTATACAGTCTCCTTCTGGAAATACTCTTTCATATGTACGCTTGTCCTGACTCTAATCATAACTCTGATCATATATGTATTCCTTAATTAGTGAGTATTTGTTTAACTCGTGTACTTGGAGTATTAAATTTGACATCAGTTGAAACTAATGCTTTATTATGGTTCACATCTAACCAGACTGTTGTCTTTGTGTAATATACTTGCCACTTTTTGAAGAAGGGACGTTCTCTTGGAGTTGCAAAGCAGCAAATGCTTGTAAATGTTAAAAATGAGAAACTAGGTCTGCCTGCAACATATCAGAAGGCATATAGCTTACAATAACCGGTAAAACTTCCTACAAGAAACTTTTGTCTCTGCATGAATTGTGTTCTTAAGGAATACTTTTTTTCCTGATACTGTGAGAATGATATGCTCAGAAAATCTGGAATATAGAATGGTTGTTTTATCTAAACAACTATTTTGACTGAATTGCTCTATTTCCTTCTGAAAGAATAAGAGTTAACTTTAGTTAAAAATAGAGCAAGACTAATTTAAATATTTAAACTTGATTGCTTGGTGTCTTGCGTTTCAGATTTTGTTAGTGGAGCATTGAATAAATTTAAATCTAACAGAACATCCTCCACTACACCTCAGCAAGACAGAAGTGGTAGGTATTGGTGCATTTGTACTAAATGGAGACCATGCAGTATCTTTGGGATTTGTAGACTATATTCAAAAAAAACAGTTTGAAACTTCAGAAGTTAATTGCAGATAAATGATTTAGTTTCCAGTTTTGAATATAGTTACACTTTTATCGAGGATACTGCATTTACTGCTTGGAGCAGCTGCAATCATTGCAGCAGTGGGCAGAGCAGCTCTAGGATTAGAAACTAAGCTTTTGCTTTTTAACTAATGCACGCTAAAGCTTTAGTCGAGTGGTACAGCAATTTACCTCTTGAGAATGAATTTGCTAAAACTGAATTTCTTTTGCTTTTTCTGTCCCTTAAACTTGCAGATGATTGTCCTTAGTGCTGTTTTTCCCAATAGCTATATTGTCTTGTACAAGTGTGTAGTTTTGGATTATTTTTTCTGGGATTCTAACTTGAAAGTATAGGAAATGGTACAAAAAGCTATATTGATTGCTCCTTGTGTTTAAAATGCATGCACTTTAGTTAAAACTTTACAAGAACTCCTCTTGTTTGCGGGAGGGAGGAACAGGACCCTAAACTCAGTCTGTAATAACCATTTAAAAGGAGAATTTTACTTGAATATAAGTTCAATTATTTTCTTAATTGCAGTTCTTTCATTGGCGACTCCAGTGGTTCTTACTCCCAGTACCAAACGTAAACTTCCAACTGATTGCTCTCAGGGTTTGTCTAGCAAGAAGAGGCGCTCTTTTAAGCATAGCTTTGCTTTTGAGTTGTTACCAAGTAGCATTTTTAACAGCAGCTCAACACCAGCATCAGGTACAGTGCCTTTATTTTTTCCTTGCTGCTTCAAGCGATTACTTTGTTTTTTCTGATTTAAGCATACAACATTTTGTTCTTATTGTGCAGTCTTAACTTCTCTCAAGTGCTAATGCTAAGTAACTTCAGAATTCTATAGAAAAAGCTTTACCTTGTTCTTTTTCATTGAACTCGTTACTGGTACCCCCTCATTTTCTCGGAGTGCTTATAACTGTCAGCTTCTTGCACAGATCATATTTTATTTGATTTCTTAATATACTGACAACTCTAAAACTTTAGAGTAAAAATATCTAGATTGGTTATGTTTGTTCTTTCTAAATATTTTCTCTTCTCACATGAATTGTATAAAACTGCCCTATTTTCTCTTTAATATATTCTTAAAGAAATCACCTCAAGCTCATTATGAGATTCTTGTGTTTAGGGATTAGAAATAGAATAGCACCTCTTCCATTTATCACCTATTTAATTGTTCTAGCTGAATATTTACATAAGAGTGGATATGCTGCACATTACAAATAATATCAAGACTGTATTTAAGTTTTCTTCATGAAGTTCTTAAATTTGCAAAACAGATTTGGTGACAGAGTGGAAACTTAATTGGAAGTGTGACATCAGTAGCATACTTGTACATCTGTCAGGAGTATCTTCCTGATTGATTAAATTGCAACCAACTGCTTCTATAGATGCTACAAGCATCTATAAATTATTACATTAATATTTAATAAAAGTGGAAGTCTAATCACATCAGGCAAAAGTTCTGTATAAACTTTTCAATGTTTTAACTGCTAAGAATGACTTACCTGAGAATGTGCTTGTTTAAAGAGTTTGGTTATAATCTAACTTTATGAGCAATTTTGTTCTTACAGTTCAGTTTGATGCAAGTCCTTGTGTCTCTCTTGAGTCATCTCAAAACTCACTCTCTCCTTCAACTGGTGGTGAGAATCCTTTGTCCGGTACGGGAAACAGAAGAACTAAAAGACATGCAAGCAAAAAGTTGTACAGGTAAATTGTCTGTATTTGCAGAACCTAAGGATAAATTGAAGAGAATTTTATAGCCTTTGGCTAACGATGTGTAAAATCTCATTCCTTAAAAATGATCTTTCTTGGTGTTTAAAAGCAGCAGATTTTTTTAATCTTAAAAAAACAGTGGATTTTTCCCAATGTGATTATAGTGTAGCTCAAAGTAACTTATGATTTGGTGCAGTAGCTTTAAAAAAACCTTCCTGTCCCTACTAAAACTTGTCACAAAGGCTGTATCAGACCTCAAACTAGAGAAAATAACCAGTGTCAGGATGTTTTTGTTTTCCCTGTATTGCTTGTTAGTGTTTTTTTTTGTTTTGTTTTGTTTTTGCTTCTTTCTCTGTGTATGTCACTTTCCCTTTTTCCCCTAGGGCTGAATCAGGAAAAACAGGTTGCTTTTCTCCAAAGGTTAGCCGAAAGGAAATGGTTCGTAGGTCCTTACGCCTGAAGTTTGGTTTGGGGAGAAGCAACAGAGACATAGTAAGTAGGCTGCTTGCATAGCATTCTGCAGATTTAATCATAACGCTTGGGAACTGCTTTTCAGTGGCAGGAAGAACCTGTTTTGATAATAGATCAGGTTTGGATCACAGCTGGATCTGCTACCGAAGCTTTAGGCTTCTGTTCTGTGACTGTTCAACTTGTGATCAATAAGTCAGAAACTCAGAAACTGTCAGGTATTGCAGAGCACATATCCACTGTATTTGTGCTGCCACAAGCGTGCCCTGCTGTGGGTTTGCTAGCTAGGGTTTCCCTAGCTAGGTCTGCAGGGCGTTCATGGAAGATAAAGGGATGGCTAGGAGGCGGCTGCTATGGTGATGGCTTGTATAATCTTTTCCCGACCATTTTTTCCAGGTGCTCTGTTATGTAAAATCTTTTGCAGATGAGATTCTCAATGAAAGTTTAAAGAATAATGCCTTTTGTTCTTTCAAGAATGTCGCATCAGGATGTGCAGTTGGTAATAGATCCGAAAACATTGGAAGGCGTCTTGCAAGCCAGCAAGATTTGGAAAGCAGAGATGAACGTGCAAAAAGAGATATACTCTTCAGCCCATATATCAGTGAAAAATTTTCCAAGAAAGGTAAACATGTGACAAGTTATAATGAACGGGGAAAACTTCTGATTTCATGAAGTATCTACAAGAAGGTTAAAGGTACTTCTAGTGAGTAGAGCAAGAGTTAATTGAACAATAGCAGTGGCTTCTGGGAGGGGGAAGGGTTACTTAGTACAAGCTTGCAGAATGTTTGCATTTTGGTAGTTATCTTCCCCTTTCATCCAGGTAAGATGTATGATTTTAGTTTTTGATACTGTAACTCTTTTCACATCCCTGAAACTTAACCTAATTATCTGAGCAGAACTGATTTTATTTTTAGCAAGAATTTTGTCTTTCATCATTGATTTCATTAACCATTTTTAATCACTAAATATTATTAAATATTGTGAAATTTCTTTTAAGGTTCAAAGAATGTAAGCAAATCAGAAGAAAACTTGTTAACTCCAAAGTGTCACGATAAAGCAGCTTATCGAATGTCATGGAATAGTCCTGTTATGGATTTTCAGGAGATCAGCAGCAGCGAGAGAAGTCTGACAGGGCATTGTGAAGCTACAGTTGATTCTTCTGAATCTGTCTTCACAGCTGGAAAGTCATCAGCTGGGGATCCGAATTCACCTGGAACTACTGTAAATAAACAAGACAACAGCTTAAAACTCTTTCTATGTGAGGAAGAAAATAATTTAGCTACAGAAACATTACTGAAAGTTAAGGAAGCCTTTTCTGCATCTGGAAATAATCTGCAGGATATGATAACTGATACAAAGTCTTCCTTGTTAGATGTTACAGAAGAAACATTAAGTGAAACCCTGTGTCTTACAGGGCTCAGTCCAGAGGGAAAAAAGCTGTCTGAAACAAGTCTAGCAAATACAGAATGCAGACAGCTGATAGACCCGGTTAATCAATCTTATGCTACTGATAAACAGGAATCAAAAAAAGATGAAACTAAAGCTTTGGAGAAAAGATTCCACAGTTCTATTGAGATTGAACTTCAGGTCCAGAAACAAGGTGCAAAAAATGTAAGAGAAATTGTGCCTCAGGGAATTGCAAGTGAAGACGAGTTGACTTTTCAGAACAGTTCCTTAAAAGATGACTTGAACAAAATAGATTCCTTCGGGGAAAAAGAGGAAATAAAATTAACACACACTGAAGTGACTGAAAACTGTACGGCAAAATGCTGTTATTTAGAAGAAGACACTGATAAACCTTCTGAGGCAGCACAGCTTCCTATTTCACAGCTATCTAAATCAGGAAAGGAACTCGGCAACGAGTACTGGCAAGCTGAAAATTCTGATAAAATTTTAACTAAAACAGCAGCTCTTTCTGATCATGGAAAGGTTTCTGACCACATACAGTGGTTCAACAAACTTTCATTAAATGATCCAAGTTCTGCAAGCAAAACGAAACCGCCTCTCAAGTTTCAACGTACTCCTGTCCGGCAGTCGGTGAGAAGAATGAATTCCTTGTTGGAGGCCAACAGGCCATCTGCAAGCGGTCGGGTAGCCCAGTCTAGTGCTGTTGGTTCACCGCTTGTTAAGTCTTTGAGCTATGATTCTGCACTGTCCTCCTGCACAGAAAAGCCCTCAAAGAATTCCACAGCTTTGCCCCTCAAGAGTGAAAGTGCAAGTGACCAAGTTTCTACATCCCATAAGCAGCTAGAATTAACATCCAAATCATGTTGCAGACAGTTAAATCCAGCAGAGAAGACTGATCTTTCTATGAGAACTGCTGGAATCTACAAACAGAAAGTGACTGTTAATCCATCCAAATCTGTTTTAGAAGACCTAACCAATCATGAAACAGTGAAATCTAGTACGAAAGTAAATGCAGGTACAAATATTCCAGGTGCTGTGCCAGAAAAATGTGCCATCACAAAAAATCCTCTTGGAAAAGAGAAGATTCGTTATAGAGGCTCTCCAAAGAATCCAATATCTAAAGTGAAACTCCTACCAGCTACAAAACCAGTAGACTTATAGGGTTAAATAGGGGTCCAGGTGACTAGTGAGAATGGTTAAACTTTGTGTATGTGCGTGGGGGGGAAATTCTTATGCTCTATTTTTTTTTAATTACAAGTCATGGACTTACACCAGTTGCAATGTCTATTTTATGTTGATTTTTTTTTGAATTTTTTATAGATGCTTGTCTCTTTAGTTAAATGGATTTGAATTTAAAGAACTCTGGTTTTACAGATGTTAGCATTATATAGCTAAGGACCTGTTGGATACCCCCTTAAACAAAAAAACTGCATGTCCCAAACCAAATTTTGCGGCCTTTAGACAAAATACCATTAAGTTTTTCTCCTCAAATCAACAGATATCTGAAAGTAAATGTCTTAATGCTGAATATAGCTCTGTTTAAGTTTATTTACTTCTGATTTTTAAGTGTATTTTAGCCCTACCTTGATATTTAAGTTAGACCTCATACCATTTCTACTACTTTTGAGACCATGACTTTTTTTTATGGGAGTAAGCTGGAAGCACGTTCTCCTTTTTGAGAGGATAAACAAATCATATTTTGCCATGCATACATGCATATTAGAAATCTATTAGAACATATGGGAGAACATGTAGTTGAGTGCAGTGTAGTGAAAAGCAAGTCTTAAGTACCTCTGACAACTTACATTCCTTGATGCGTACGAAGTATTTTCAGTTGTCGGTAGTAAACTGTTTTGTCTTGATGTGAAAAGCTGGTCTTAACTTATTTTTAGAGTAATAGAATAGTGTTAACTAGGTTGTGCAGAAACGCAGATTTTCAGATGCTGATTATGTTGCAAGAGACAAATGTAAAAAGCCATACTGTGTTAAAAGTTGATTTGCACAAGCAATGTTTACATCTCAATTAACTGTTTGTCATCGGTTGTAAAATTATTTAAGAGTAAACACTTGAAATTGTTCATTAGCTTTCTGTCAAATTGCTGCTTGGCAAGATGTAAGAGCTGAAAGCACTGGATGCTCTTGGTTTTAATAAAACCATTGTTTTTGTTCCTTCTCTGTGACCATTCTTCTACAGTGACCTAAAAGTTTAGCTGTCTCTTACTTACCAATGTCTTCAGTCTTGTGTAAAAATACTTATGAGAAACAATTCTATTCTGACACTTTGATTTATTATCTTAAAGTTTGAGTCTCAACTAGCAAAATCACAGCATAAATTAAATATTTTAACAGGCCCTAGGCTTCCAAAATGCTGGAGAGATCTCTCACTGGATGAACATGAACTTGATTTCTGTTCCTCTCCTTCCCTATGTATCCCCATAGGTACTGTGTGAGTTGGTTCATTTTAGTGATCCTGGTCTGAACTACCCCCCTCTTATTGCTACGTTATTAAGATACATCACCAGGAAGAGGTCAGGAGGAGGTTAGCAAACATTGAACTGGCTCTACAGGACTGTTCCTTACAGTGGATGATGCTTCACCACCATCTAAGGAAGAGGCCGCTTCTCCCAGCTCTGTGTTGCTGCCTTCTGCTGTCAGCAGGTGCTGGCAGATCCCTCGGGAGGCCAAGTTCATGCACCAGAGCACAGTGCTTCATGCCCCTTGCGTGAGGAAAATAGACTTAGCCAAGCAACTGCCAGCTGCCATCGCTGATGTGAGGCGGGAGGGATGAGAGGGAAATAGGGCAGAAGGAGATAAAGGAAATATCATGAGAAATTTCTTAACAGTGAGGGTGATAGAGCACTGGAACAGGCTGCCCAGAGAGGTTGTGGAGTCTCCTTCTCTGGAGATCTTCCAAACCCGCTTGGACGCAGTCCTGTGCCACGTGCTCTAGGTGACCCTGCGTGTGCAGGGGGTTTGGACTAGATGATCTCTAGAGGTCCCTTCCACCCCTAAGCATTCTATGATTCTATGAAATGAGAACAAGCTCTTCGTTTCTTTGCTCAGCAGTGAGTTGTCATGTCAGCTTCTGCTTGAAAGAGGGAGACTTGAGATTTCTCTTTCCATGGATGGGCCAGATATTTCACATACTAATGCAACTTGGATATTTCCAGAGCTTGGATGGAACAGCTACTGTTATGGGAAGACCTCTCTGGATCATATATTTCCAATGGGGATTATTCTGGATGCCTCCCCCTTAAGCCTTTGTGCAAAGACTGTTAGAAATACTTGTGTTTTGTGGCTATTTTGCTGTCTTTAATCACTAGCTTTGTTAAATGTTGCTGTAGTCTGAAACATTGAAAGACGTCCTTCTTGTGCAACGCAAAGGCACGATAGCCCTTTGTGTGTATCTAATGGGAACAACCCCTTGCTACTGACCTGTTTTTGCCAATTTTTGTAATTTGTATTCCAGAAGCTTTAAGTTCACAGGATTACTTATTTGAAAGTGGAGTACTGCAATCAACTTTCCTCTTCATTTTGTTGGAGGAGCCACCAATTCTGCTCATCTGGTTAAAGGCCTGTGATAGCTCCTGCTTTTGAAACATGGCCAAAGCTAGCAAGAAAATGGGTCCCTTTCTCTGAGAAATGGGGCTAAGGCAGCTGCGAAGCTTGAAAATAGATGAACTGCTCCGTGTGGTGCTGGGGGGTATAACAGTAAAGGGCTTGACCCTCCCTAGGAGCAGCTCTGGAGTTAGTACAGGAGGCAGAACTTGGGATGTGAGAGTCAAACCAAGGTGCTTTCCAGAGCTGAAAGCGGAGGGAGCTGTGGCCTCTGGCTTTAGCGGATTCAAAGAAACCCCTGAACAAACCTATCTGGGCAGTCCAGCTTAATCCTGCCAGTTACGGAAATATAAGATGCCCTAAAACCAGGGACCAGAGTGAGCTGGTGGGCAAGAACAGCTCATGCCTTGCTCTGTTTCTGAAGCTTTCTCAGGTTTTTCTTACATGCCAAGAGTAACATTTCACACTCATGTCTGTAGCAGTTAACAAACTACATTACATAGTTTGCAGAAATTATTGTTTTGCCAAGTACTCTGCAATGACTGACCTGCTCCTTTAGCGAGGGCCTTTCACAGGTTTGGGGGGTTTGTTTTTGTTTCCTCAGTGCTCTGCTCTGGGAACCCTCCTGTGCAGCATGGGGAGAAGGTGGCCCAGTGCCTGTCCCCGCCAGGAGGTAGCCATGGGCATGTGCCCATGGAAGGTGGCCCAGTGCCCACCAGGAGGTAGCCATGGGCATGTCCCCACGGAAGGTGGCCCTGTGCCTGTCCCCGTGAGGAGATAGCTGTGCACATGTCCCCACAAGAGCCTGCGCTTGTGCAGCACCCTCACCCATCCCTAGGCCAGGGCCTGTGTTATTGCAGGGAGAAAACCACTGTCCAGGGAAGATGGTCACCATTGTAGGGATAAGTAATGTCTTTTGATCAGGCTGTTGGACTAGCAGCAGCTTCTTGGTTATTTTTAGAATATGGTATTTAGCTGAACCCTGGGGTCTTGAAGAGCCCATCCAGCCCAGGCTTTGTATGACCCTTTTTATTCAATTTTTATCTTTTAATTAAGTACCGTGACGAGCAGTCTG